AAGCCCCAGGTTTCAAACAGCCAACTCATGCAATGAGCATAGGACCTTGTCCCACTGCCTAGATGCCTCCCAAACAGATCAAGCCAATCAACTGTCTCACCTATTCAGAGGGTCTGATCCAGCTGGGGGCCCCTCAGCCTTTGCTTCATAGTTCCTGTGTTTCCATTCATTTTCTGCCTAATTTTTTGAGACAAGGTCTCTCACTAACCCTGGAGCTCATTGATGGCCAATGAGCTTCTTGGCTCTGTCTCCTCCTTCCCTCCAATGCTATGATTACAGAGCTGTGCCATCACGTCTGGCCTTCTACCTAAGTGCTGGAAAGCTGAACCCAAATCCTCGCACTTACATGGCAAGCATTTTACTGGCTGAGTCATCTCCCCAACCCTTATCATTGTGGTATCTTAATATACTTATAATCAATCAGTTGACAGAAATGATAAGTAGAACAGATTTATATACAGATCCCAACTACTTTTCAGGGACGATACCAAGAAACAAAGAGCGTGTAGCGTACGTGTGTTAATGTAGTGACTCCCGTGTGGTTCTAAGAAGTTAACTGTCTGTGCTCATAAAACAAGCCAGCCCTACTTGAGTGAGAAAATCTCACTCCAACATCACTGCCACCCCGAAGTTCCTAATCTCTGTGGAGTAGCCAAACCTCCTTCTTCACACTGAACCACTACCAAAGCAGATGGTTAAGCTACCATGAAGACTTGTGTTTGTTTGTCTGTCGAGATAGGGTTTCACTGTGCAGCCCGGGCTGTCCTGGAACCCACTCTGTAGAGCAGGCTGGCCTCGAAGTCACAGAGATCCGCCTGCCTCTGCCTCTTGAGTGCTGGGATTAAAGGTATCAGCCACTACTGCCCAGCTCAGTTTAAGATGAATTAAAAGACAGTCTCTGGGTGGTATATATCATTGCCTTTCATCTCTTCCCATCTGTGTTCCATGAAAGGAAGACTTGGCTCTTGAACTTGTTACAGGAGCAGGGTAGGGTTGAAGGAAAAGAAGCTTCCAGTGAGAAACGTGACTCTCCGGTGACTCTTCTCTCAGGCAAGGAAGTAAGATGGCTGAAGGCAATGATTCGAGCTTATTAGTAATGGAATAGAAAGCCCAAACCAAACTGACCTGCACAAAGTGGGGGATGGGAGGAAAAGGAAATTTTGTGGCTATTCTTGCTGCTCAGAAGTATTCCCGCCACAGGTGGTTCCGTCTCCACCTCTTTGTTCCTCACCCCCCCCCCCGCCCAGTGTCCCTGTTTGCAGCCTCTGTGGTAGCTTTAAGTTCAAAAAGTTTAAGAAGGAGGGGTGGGTAAGGAATGAAAGTGAACCCTGAGCACCGAGGATGAAGAGTACCTGGCACTACTCAACATGTCTTCTGATATTACATAGTCTCCATTGAGCCCCAGAAGCCTCTGGACTCTCCAAGATCTTGGTCCCATCTCTCAGTCTCAAGAGATGTAGTAGTAACTAGTGACTGTCATTAGGAAGAGCTATGGAGACGCCTACCACCTATATACAGTCTAATCCAAGAACCAGCTTGCACTGAGCCATCTCTCAACTCTTTGCTTCTAAGCCACCTGCTCGGCACCACCCTTCCAGTCGCTTATTAGATTTTGGTGCAGAAATCTTGTTTCTCATTGGCTGTTGGCACAGCATCTTTGTCTTTCACCTCTTCGTGTCTATATCCAATAAAAGGAAGACGTACGTCCCATGAAAGGTACACCCCAAGGAGCATCACATTTTATTTCCAAGCTCTGTCTACCATGAACTTTTCCTTTCCATCAAAATTCATTTTCTCCTGGAAATCTTTTCAAGTCAGACTCCCAGGTATGTCCATTCTGTTCATTTTTCTTCCTCAGTCTTGCTGGCTCCCCACCAAGCATACGCTTCTTCAGTTAATGGAAAGTCCTACCTGTGAGTGGAGGATTTCTAGCCTCTTGTGTCAGGCTAAACTCTAGTGACTCTTAGAATGTATGCAGATAGGTGCTTCCCATTCACGCTCACAGTGCATACATCTTGGCTCTGGAGTCCTTGGGTGGAAATACCCCCCGAAGGCCACAAGATGGAAATATCACCACAAGAAAGTGGAATTCTCAGAACTTGTATGCATTTGCCCTTCTTGGGGATACAGATGACCTTCTCAGAAGTAGGTAAATGCACTGTGATCCTGTGATGTCTCCATTTCTCTCCCTGATTGACTCATTCATTTTCCTCCCATAGTGCCACAAAGAAAATAAAAAGGCGACACATTATGTTAATGTATGAACATTCTTTTTCAGTGGAATTATCATTTCATTCCTTCTGAAAACAGAAGAATGCTTTCTCTGGAAGAAATACTTAAGCACTTTTTATTTTAGTTGCTTTTTATTGACGTATATTCATTGTGCATAGTGATGAGCTTCATAAAGACATTTTCATTCAAATATGTCATGTACTTTGACCACATGCACCCTCCCATAATTCCCCTTTCTCCCCTTTCCTGAGCCCCATTCTTTCCCAGACAGTCTCACTTCTGCTTATAGATGAAATTTGTGTGTCTGTATAAAACCTAGGACCCACAAGTAAGAGAAAACATCAAAACATGTGATGTTTGTCTTTCTAAGTCTGGCTTATTTCGCTTAATCAGATCACATTAGTTTCTATCCATTTTCAGCTAATGATACAATGTCATTCTCATTTATGACTGATTAAAGCTCCATTGTGTATATATTCATATATATACACATATACATATATGTGTGTATATATACATGTATGTGTGTGTGTATGTGTGTATTCATCTGTTGACAGACATATAGGCTGATTCAGTGATCTGGTTATGTGACTAGTCCTACAATGAACATGGATGCACAGGTATCTGTGGCTTGCTGACCTGGACTCTTTGGATCCACACCCAGGGTCATATGGTAGTTTTACTTTTGGCTTTCTGGGGAAACTCTCTACTGGCAGTCATAGTGGCTTGTCTAATTTACATTTTCATCAGCACTGTATAAACCCCTTTTCCCCACATCCTCACTAGCTATAACTCAGTGGAAGAGAACTCACCTAGCAGTCATGAGGTTTTGCTTCAAACCCCAGTGCTATTTTTAAAAATAGATGGTTTTGTATGTGCTGGGAATAACCAATCTAAAAACTCTCTCTCATTGTTATTAAGTGTAGAGTGATTTTTCACCTCTGTGTTCCCCATCACATGACTTAAAGGCAAAGTATTATGCAGAATATATAAAGTGCTCAAA